TGAAACGATTTGAAACTTGACACAGTTGTTACTCATAAAGCTGAGAAGAGTCCATAAATATTTCAGAATTTTATCTCAATTATTTCCTTACGTCCATTAAATATAAAACTGTTCGTTAAAGATTCGTAATTTCACCAACTATTCGCTATAATTTAAGAGTTTGGCTGTCGGTAATCATCTTCCTAGATGTCATTATTCAAAACAGGAGCCTACAGAAGGTAATTCAACTTTGTTCCAGGTGATAGGAGCTCAAGGAGCGCAGTACTCGCAGCGAGAGAAATAACATCGTCGTCTTGCAGCTACATGGCGCACGAGAAGCTCTCGTACGCCTTCAGCGTTTGGAGGATGGAGGACGATTGGAACTCGAACCTGTAGACACATCTCTGACGTCGGAAGCCTGTATTCCCGTCGCGAGGTAAACGCGCGAGCAAGTCTACGTGTCCCTCGAATCGCGATTCGAAAGTTTGGAAGAGAAGACCAAGACCGATTTCCTATTTTCGCTGGCTCGAAGGTACCGAAATTGCGTGAAGGCGTAAAAGAAACGCACGTTTCATCCTCCCTCGCCTAAATAAACAATCGCCAGTTTGCAAAGAACAATATCCTTCGAGAGCTTCCATAATTCGTACCGCGTCAGAAAATTTCGAAACGAGACTTGTTACTTAGCGAGGGTTGGAGTTATTATTTAATATCTCAGAACAGTGCTTCCAAATTATTCCTTCCTGTCGCCTTGTTTTCGTCGCATATTTTCTCGAAGCCTCGTCTGTGTCAGATGCAATTGGACAATTCCAGCGAGTTATTTATCGGTATCTAAACGAAAATATCGTTATGAAAATCGAGGTTTAGTCGGTCTGAGAGTACGGAAGATTTTTCGGAGCGATGAGAAACCTCGAGGTAATCGAGGATAAAAGATAGAATAGAAGATAAATTTCATTGAAAATTAATTGAAAGATTAACGAAGGAACAGGAGATTCGTAGTTCGAAAGACAGACGCACTCTTCTGAGCCGCGAACGACTCTTGGAAATCGGTGGACTCGTCCCTGCGAGTCTCTCAACGTCGATGATTTCCGCTCGTTGTTCGAATTTTCAACGATTTTCGATTCATTTAAACAGAAAGTGGCGCTGCGTGTTTGCGACTCGCTATTTTCTCGACGTCGGTGATTGCTCGTTGTTCGCACGTGAAAAAATCAAAAAATTCGATATCGTTCATGTTCAAAAATTCTTCTCGTTATTTTCCTAAATAATATTAAAGAAAATCGGTCTGGATGAATCTCATAATTCGCGCTCCTCGAATCTTCCTTTCCCGGCGGAACGACGGACAGTAACGTCATTCGTTACTATTTTACGAGTTCTTTTTACGACCCGGGATGATCGGGCTGAAGCCAGCGTCCCGACGCTGTGGAAACAAGTCCGTGCGCGCGACAGAGTAGATGAAACTTAAACAAAACAACGCTGGGAGCAGCGTTAACGAGCATTTTGGCGCCGATAGCGTCGTTCGGTGAACGATTTTTTTTCTCGGGGACCCCTCTTCTTCGAACCGGGCGGCCCTTCCGCGAAAATTCCTCCTCGCATCGGACACGTGGTTGGTTCATTTCTAAATTCAGAAAGGAAAGCAGTTCTATGATAAAAATAATGATTAATAATAATAATAATGATTAATAAACGTTAATCAGACCGAGCAGTTCAATTTTTCATTTATTCAATTTATCGAAAGAGGTTGCGTTGTGTAATTGAAATTTTGGCATTTGAAGTCACTGTCATTTATTTATCAGGAATTCCTTGATATAAGGACAGGGCTCTCCCTCGATATAAGCACGTGGAGCATCATTCTCCACTTGAGAGAATGATTTGATATCGAAGAGATGGAATATTGTCTAGAATTCTTTGGGTGAGATTGCGTCTTGAACTTATGAAATCAATTTTACAGTAATGCCTTGATACAGGGACAGGGCTCTCCCTCGATATAAGCACGTGGAGCATCATTCTCCACTGTTTATTAAAGAGGTATAATATCGTCTGATTCTTGAAGCTCGATACACAACATCAACCAATGAATTCCAGGCAATTTCAAACCAAATTAGAATTCTGGAATCCTAGACAATTTTACAGCGATACCTCGATATAAAGACGGGTCTCTCCCTCGATATAAGCACGTGGAGCACCCTCCTGCTCCGTTATATCGAAAAAGTAATGCATTGTCCATAATTCGTTGCCTGAAATCACTATTCGGATACAAAGTTTAAAACAATCAATTCCTGGACAATAATCGCTACTCCTCCTCGATAAAGCGATCCCATTAAGGCAAACCCGCGGGCTTATATCGAGGTAACCACTGTATTCGAACGAACCGTTCGACTTTCGATCCTCTTCGTCGTGTCGAACGTTCGGAAAACTATAATTTAGTATAAAAAAAAAAAAAGAACTGAAGAATTAAAAAATTTTTTTGGGTATCTCCGTCTGAATCGAACCCGGCGACCGTGTGAACGTCTCACGAACGAGACTAGGTTATTTTAAACCGACGGAAGGAAAAGTTGGACCGCGTTTTACTGGCTTAACGAAGACACGCCTAGTTAAATCCGCCAGCGTCTTTATTGCGGCACTGAATCTTCCTGAAAAAAACGCCATCTCCTTCCGAACGAGGTGCCATCTTCGTCCCTCCACCCACCCACCCCCCCTCCCTCCATCCCTCCTCTTCGTCGTCCCCGTCGAGGAGCTGTCGCATCCTCGGCCAAGGAGTGCTTTTGGGAACAGCCACGGTCGAAATTCTTGTCTACATAAAAGCGTCTTCTTAATTTCTGAAGGATAACCTTATCGATTATCATCCGTTACAGATTTTATTTAATATCGAAAGGAATATTAATCGAACAGTTTGGAACTGTTTCGATCTTGTTTGAACCACTTACAAATCGGTTTGAACCGACTAGAATTCGTTTTGAGTCGCTTTGAAACTTGAACTCTACTTAAGGAACGTTTCGAACTGCTTGAAAACCACTTTGAACATGTTTGAGCCTGTTTGAACCGGTTTGAGGCTCGCCAACCTTCATATCGAAATTTGTCTTTCGTTGTTGCTTTGCGAAGAAGGAATCATAAATTATGAGATTCATTAGTATGTGGTTTGGAACTGTTTTGATCTTGTTTGAGCCACTTACAAATCGGTTTGAACCGACTAGAAATCGTTTTGAGTCGCTTTTATAACCATTTCAGTCTCTTTGAAACTTGAACTGTACTTAGGGATCGTTTCGAACTGCTTGAAAACCATTTTGAACATGTTTGAGCCTGTTTGAACCGGTTTGAGGCTCCC